CTCTCTCTCTCTCTCTCTCTCTCTCTCTCTCTCTCTCTCTCTCTCTCTCTCTCTCTCTCGTCGGCACTTCTTTCCCTACTTCTTCCCTCCGCGAGATCGTGTTCTTGCGCGAAGGAGATCCAATTCCGAGCGGCGCTTTCGCCAATGTTGCGTTACGCGATTACGGCAACCGCGAGCCACCCCTTGCTCTCACGACGATAGCCCGTTTAGCAGCCAACCATCCGGTCTCGCGTCGGTTTGAGAAGACGGGGAAATCGTTGGACCGGGTCCAATTATAGAGCGCCGTCTCGCTTCCTAGATCTAAGGCTCTTTATAGTCCACCAGGCCGCGGACGTTTTATTTCAGAGGGATCGCCCTGAATTAATGATACGGACCCGCGCTGTCGAACCCGAAATATCCTCGTGCATGGACGTCACGCGACCGTCCATCCTACCTTGCTCCACGCGGACGGAAGGGTGGGAATTGGCGTGATCGTTTATATTCTTTAGCCGACCAGTCGGCAACAAATTCGGACGACAAGCGGCGGCGATCACGGAGCGCGAAGGAGGCAGAGGGGAAGCGGAAATGTTAAACGACGTCCCGCCAACGCGAGCGCAATGACGATCGCTGTAATGGCACAATGCGAGTGGCAACGACTTCCGATTACGGCCGCTGCGACTCTCTCTCCTCTCGAGACGTCGCTCACGTTCACTACGAATGAAAAGGAGCGCACCCCGTGACGGCGATCTAAGCCACCGTTGGCGACTCCAGTAGAGTCAGCTCCAAAAGGAAAAGAGGAATCTCGATGGAAAACAGTGTCTCTCACCGCGTCGCTCGCAAGCTTCACTCGCGCGATCGTTACATTACACTTACGACTAGTACCGTGGACGATGTAGCGCGTTAGGACTCGTTGAGGAGCGGATGCGCTCGGGGTTACTTCGCGGTCCTCGATAGGGACACCACAAGAATCGCCGCGGCGTTCCCTTCGGCGAGTCGAGCGACCGTTCCGTATCAGAAACCGCGGCGTCGCGCGCGCACCAGTCTTCGGGGCTCCTTCTCCTCCGAGGAGAGATTGCGAACTTACTTCCTTACTTCGCGTAAACACAATCGCGCGCGACGATCGAGGAGCACCGTCGACGACGATAGATCACCGAGTGTACGTTCACGACCCGCGCTTCCCGTCGTTACTCACTCTCTCTCTTTCTCTCTCCACCTTTTCGCACGGATGGATCACCAAGCGCGATGTTTCTCTGGCGATGTCACACGAACCGCGACGTCGTCGGCGAGCCACCAAGTGTCACCGGTCAGCGATCGGCGTCGATCTTCTGCGCGCGATTTCACGACGCGAAAGAGACACTCGTTGTCGTCGTCGTGAAGCGGTTGCGACGGCTCCGGCGAGCCGGGACCGGGATCGAGAGACCGGGACCGGTATTCCCTCACGCACGTGTCACGCGACCTCCGACGACGAAAGTCACTAGAAGGAGACCGGTAGCGACCCCCGCCTGGCGAGAAGACGGAGGGTGTGAGAGAGGACGTGGAAACGACAGACGACACGGCGGGAGGGTCGGCGATGGTGGTGGCTGGTGTGATCGTGGCACGGGTAGGGGGGAGACTCTATCGGCGGGGTGGAAAGCTGCCGGACGCGGCGGGAAGGGGTTGCGAGCGCGCCATGCGGGGTGGAAGCGGATCGGCGAGAAGAGCGCGGCGGAGGCGAGAGGGTCGCGATCACGCTTCCCCACCATGGCGCTACACCCACGGATTAAAAGGCGAAATGCCACCCCTACCGCAGCCCCTCCTGCGTGCTCCGCGCTCTTATCCGCGGGGGATGCTGCGCAGTCTCCGGAGCAACACTGACACAGTGTGCCACCGACACAGAGAGCGCGCGCTCGACCCGAATGTAACGCCGTCTACGTGGATCAGCTCCGAGAGTTGACGAGAGTCCGGTAGATCCGGCGGAGAGAATAGCCGAGCGGACGCGTAAAGATACATCTACAATAGGATTGGCAGTAGACAGTAAAAAGTAAGCAAATTGACCAAATTATTCTTGTAAAAATCAACCACGGTTGGTCAATTTGCTTACGTCTTACTGCCAATCCCATTGTACATAGTCCTTAAAGCCCGTGAACATTTCTTAGTCGTGACCGTAAGGGCGTAAGAAAATTGATCAATCATAATTGACTATTCTTCTTGCGATCGAAGAATAATCGACTGTGACTAGTCAGTTTTCTAACGGATTTACGATTACGACTTGTTATTTGTAATTTGTTACGTGCAAAGGCCTTAAGACCGGCAGTGCACAGAGAAACGTAGGCAGCAAAACTTCAGCAGCGAGCGAATTAATCGACCACAATCGATGATTCTTCTTACGGTGCGAGAATAATCGGTTGTGATCGATTTCCTTATTGCTTAAGTCTTACTGCCTACATCTTTCTGCGCGTTATCGTTCGCTCAAGCAGCCGCGAAACACGACGGATGTCCAACTAACTTGTCATTTTGTTGTCCCTCTACAATGTTCACTTACAATGCCAGAGGCATTTTTGCAACACAAATGTCTGTATGGACACGAATGTACAGTGAAATTAATCTGGAGTAGTCATAATCTTCTCATCGCGCAAATATTAAGCCGTGTATTATTTCGTGTGTTTTTTTCAAATTATTGGGAATAGAACGAATCATCAGAGCGATTAAGCAATTGTCCAAAATTGAACGGCACGAGATGCATTATTTCGTAGGATTTTTGAGAGCGACGGAAATAATCACGTGCGTCCTTTAGGACGCTTCGTGCCATTTTTGAAGTGTTTTAAATCCGTCCACTTACCAATCCGTCCTGTCCACTCCATTCATGTGCGGATTCTCGAACAGAAAATGTTTTGAACTGTTTTCTCCTTAAAAGAGAAAAAGAACCGGAGGTAAGATCTGGAGATCAGTGTGATTGAAGAATCCATAAGTAAAGTCCAATCCTTTCACGTCGCTCGGTCGATGTGGAGCGATCCTTGTAGGGGAAGGACTACCGTGGTAACGGATTATTCAAGCGCACTATGCCATCTAGCATTGTGCGTAATAACCTCTCACCTCCTACGCTATACTCTCTACAGCACCCTGATAGGGTACATAACGCGAATACATGAAATTATTCTTAATAACGTTAAAACAATTATCGGCTTTCTCCCTTTTCCCCCTTTTTTTAATCCTGACCCTAATAAAATGCACCGGGCAAAAGTACAAGAATTCACCGAAAAGAAAGATTTTCCGATGCAATTAAAAACCTCGCGAGTTTATAGTAGATCTACAAATGTAATATACGTAATAAACAAAATCAAACTTTTATATTAGAGTAACTAATTCTCGGAGCTGTATAAGATTAATGACAGTACCTAAGAAACTCTTTCTCTAGACAAGGGTCTAAAAGGGTCGATTTGTGAAAGGTTGATTCACCGTGTTCGTTGAAAGCCCGGAAAACAATTTGGCGTGCGTTAATACACTATTAAATATTATCTTGCTACAATTTAATCTGCACTAATAACAGGCGGTTCTTGTAGGCCTTCTCTTTTTTCCTCCTCCGATACGATACAAAAGTTCTTTTTATGAATACATTATGAATGTTTTAAATAAAAAATAAATTTTATTGTTGTTATATTTTTTGTTTTTGATTAACAAAATATAAAGATAAATAAACATCCTAAATGCATATAAAAACTTCCTACAATACTATGAATACTAGAAAATAAGCAGTTTAAAAATACAATTTTTAGATCAGCACGCGTTTACAAAAAAAACATTACATGATATTTAAATTATTAGGTATACTATATATTGAAACATATTTATGTATCAATACAAATTGTACACATTTGTGCAAATCCTAATGACGTCATAAATAAGAGAATATAATCTTTATATAATCTGATATCAAAGCACAATTTATTAATTATATAATATGAATTATATTATTATTATTTCTTATAAATAATATAAATTAAAAAGTAGCTTTTACATATCCTACAAGACTCATGTATTTTCATATACGTTTCTGCAAGGAACACATATGAAAATGTTTTCTGATATCGTTTTATCGAATTGTTAGTTATATAATAATATAACTAACAATTCGATAAAACGAATTAATAAATTCGTTGATAACAATAGCATCAAATCTTGCAAATTTTTTCCTTTTACCTACAGCTTCTCCTCGACTTGACACAAGTTAATAAAAAGATATAAAGTCACTCGTCCAGGAAATTCATACGCCGTTCGAAACATTCTACAGATATCCATAGTCTGTTATACCTTCAACTACAACTCAGTTTGTCAACAACTTTCGAGACGCGTACATATAGATATGTTCTACTTCTAAATATTTTCTTAGTGCTCCTCGGACTGTCGTCAAGTATACATCTGTACTGTGCAAAGAGAATTTTATTATTTCCATTGCGATGTCGAAAATTCCACACACTTTACTTCCACTTTTAATTCTACTTCCATGCTGCATGTTATGTGTACAATGAGTGCCACGCCAATCTGTTATATTTATAATATATCCAATGTGATTTACAATGAAAATCACATTAAATGCATTACAAACGTAACAGAATGTAATATGTTTGTAGATTTGATGACGTAACATCATCAGCCTCACTGACATTCAGGCACTCGTCGCGGAAAAGTGGCTTAAAATGTAGTGAGGGGGAATAGCCGAGAATATAACACTAACACTAACAGTGAGGTCAGTGTGTCGTGTCAAGTCAAATTATTCGATCTGTCGTATCTAAAGAGATATCAGACAATATACAATTTGAAACTACATAAGCTTAATAACAGTACATCGGTGTAGTCATTGTGTCAACCACTATATGGACTTTTATCAAATTAAGTGAGTAATAATACAATAATTACGTGAGTAATAATACAATAATTAAAAATATAATAATAATAACTTGTAAATATTTAAAATAATAATAATAAATTATAAGAAAAACTAAGTTGTTACGTGAAATAATAATATCAACAATAATAATACAATATAATGTTCTTAAAAATATAATAATAATAACTTATAATTATTAAAAATAATAGCAATAAATGATAGAAATAATGTTACAATGTGTCTCATCACGATAACAGGCGAGGATTTATCTACGGAAGAACTCGACTCTTCGTGTAGCGGTTACAACATATACACTGGCGATAACTCACATAGTGAAGTAGGCAGTCTATATAACATAAATCCCCAGCAATTTATGTGAGGTGCGCAAAATCAGTTATATACGCAACAGCAATCGACAATAGAGCATACGGTGCGTACTGTTTAATCTTTTATATAAGGAGATATCAAGGGACTCTTTTTGTCTCTCTCTTTACGGGAGAGAGACCACATTTGCACATAAATTACAATAAACTTGTTTAAAGAGAGTTACTCTATTCGCCCTTACAGATGTTCTTTAGTCATGCAACCTTCCCACAACCTGGTCGTAGATGGTGGAGGTGACTTTGAATATAACAAGAAAATAATAGTGGAAGATATGTTACTTCACCTGCATCAGATAAAATACACATTCAGAAATAAACCAGAGGTGATTAGTGAAAAGCTAGACGACGAACGTACGAATGTACTGTAGTGTAATTCATATTAACGATTTCTAAAAAGTCGTCTATAACATACTATATTACCTTTATATAACAGAAGGCAGCTATCGTATGAATATTTTTCTTTGCAGGTGTACTATTGCTTATTAGACGTAATAAATGATTTTAAATCGACAAGCATAGATACTCTGAATATTGCACAAAGCCAGTTGTATGAGTTGTTGCTAGAACATTTCGAGGCTATTATGTCCTTCGCAACCTTTTTCTCGCCCAGTTATGAAACAGAAGAGCACTTGAACCATCCAGAATACGACTTCGAGGTGTCCATCGTTTTACATGATTTGACAGAGACGGACATTGCTACGTTATCGCTAGATCAAAATATTGCGGCTAGGTCATCCATTCTTATAAAACGAGCATCATGTCTTCACATACTGCAAAGGTGTTTTTCTCAGCCATTGCTATCGGGAGGAATAGCAGACGACAATATGTCGCTTCAATATTTTACTATTCGTCTGCAATTGTTGTTACAGGCTATCCCCTACAAACTATTCTCTAAGAATCACTATTCCAAACAGTATATTGAATAAGGCCTCATCTTCGTCGCCGTTAATACCGATATATACAGGAGAAATGAGCGACTCGCACATTACGGATGCATGTCCCTTTCAAATTCCGAATCAATTGTCCGGCATAACAGAGAATAGAGGGCAGAAGCGCAAGAGAAACTGAGGGAGTTAATTTGAGTTAATTATTATATAAACTTTATCAATAAAGTAAAAATATGATGGTTAGAGATGACGCGCGAGATATCGAAGAGATCGACGAAAGCTTCACGCGTGTTGTATTCTTTTCAAGAATTATTTCTTATGACAACCGGACAAAGAACGTATTCTGGAGATATCGCATCAGATGGGACAGTAGAATTTACAGATCAATGACATCTTATATACGCTCATGTGGTGGTATGCGATCGGGTATACAAGCAGATAGTCAAAAATAGCGAGTGACAGCTAGTGTGCAAATATTGGCGCAAATGTTACACTTTTATTTCAGCAGCAGGATTAAATATGTTCTAACAGCGTCGAGCACGCGCGCCAAGGAATTTCTCAGGCTTGCAATGTACGCGAAGAATTCACCTTCCGCATTAGAATCGACTTGAAATCCGATTCACTCCAATATTACTCCTTTACCTCTCTTTACTACGTTTGAACGATAACCATTCTTAGATTCTTAAACATGTAATCTTATTTTATCTTATCTATGTAAATACGAATGATGCAGTATTTTTCGCAACACTTGGAACGAATCTAGCCTGGAAAGGTGGATTCTCCGCGCTTATTGTAAATCTGAGATATTCCTCGACGCGTGTGTTTGACAATGTTAACACATTATTACCCTCCCGAAATAGAAGTTAAATCAGGCATTATATCTGCGTGCTAGTCTTTATTGGCCGTTCGCCACTTTACATGAATTTATAGATGTCGGTACACATGTGTGAGAGTCACGAGTTACGACTGTGATACGAATGGAAGGAAGAACTTGAGGATAAAAGGAGACTTACAAATAAGTTGCATCAGTTTTCTTGTTTTCTTAAGAATTAAGAAGATTATTCAGCAGCGTTTGAGCAATTTTTGACAGGTCCTGCTGATTAGAAAAGATCGCTGAAAAGTTGCTTACATGCTCGAACATTCTTTCTCGTCTGCCTTTTATTGTTTTGATTCCTCCTTCTCTTTTCTAATCTGAGAAGAGAATGAGAATTCTCTTTCTAGCAAGAGGAGAGAGAGAAAGAGAATACGTGTATGTTTGTGTAGTCATAATTATGTAACTTGCATAAGCAACCAAAATTTTCGGGTAATTTTCGGGTTTTAGGCAAATCTTAGTATTGCGGAATCGTAGTCTAAATCAATATTAGTATATAATATTATGGGGTTAAAATCGTCCATCACTTTTAAACACCAAGTCAAAACTTAAAAAGAAAAATGCAACATAAATAAGATATATGAATTCCAAGGAACGCGTTTAAACTTTTATATCTTGACAAAAGTGAATTTAGCTTCAGTGGACTATGCAGAAATCTTGAGATGTATCTTTTTCCGTAATAAGTATTTAGGTATCTATCTAATTTTACTTAATTGATGCAGGTTCTTCTAATCCCATTGAAGCTCCCATATACGATTGCAATATTACTTTGGCACAATTATTATAAATAATACAAAGTATTCTGTACAAATAGGCAATGTATAGAATGTTTTTACGAATTATGAATGTTTTTTTTATAATTGACACATTTAATTGTAGTTACACTAATCTTACTAGTTATTACAAAAAAACTAGTTACAAAAAAAAGTTACATTAAGTCTGAAATAACTAGACATCTTATAATATTAATATTCATTAAGTATTTATGTAAAAACATGAATTTGTTAAATACACTAATACAATTAGAATATGTCGTTGGATATCGATCATTTGTGTTATCTGTTTGCGTGTTTACAACAAATACGAATATACGTCAAAAATTTATCCTAATCCAACTTTCTCGTACTGTTACTCTCGATCCGTTGGTAATAACAACATAAAGTTTTGCAGATTTAATTTCTGTCATCCGTAGTTTGATAGTTAGTTATAGTTTTATATGGTACAAATTAAATAATATACTTAAATTACATAATAAACTTATTTCTTTCTTTTTATTCCATATTTTCGGTTATTCGACATATTCTGTGTACGAATGAATATTTGTAGTTATTCAGTTTGTCAACATCTCTTGAGACGTATACACGTGTACATATACTAGTAAATGCCCCCTTAGTATTTTGCGGACACTCGTCAAGTATACATCTGTATGTACTGTGTATAAGAAATTTTCTGCTGATGTGCCGAAAATTTAACATATAACTTTACATTTATCATCGCGCAAAACATTACTAGGGTTTACAACGGGTGCCGCGACAATCTGTTGTGTCAGTAATACATATCAGCGTGATTTGTAACAAAAGTCACATTAAATGCATTACAAATATAACAGAATATAATTCTGTTTGTAGAGTGAATAAAGCAACACACCAGTAGCAGTGGTACATTCATCGGTAAGCGTGGTAAGTGATTTCGGATTTGTTAGTAAAAGAGAAAGCTTATAAGACTACTAAAAATTGAATCGACGTCGTGCCGTCTAGCCAAATCGTTCGATCTGTTGTATCTAAAGAAATCTAAAGAAAAGTTGTATGTAATTTGACCTGTCCAAGTTTGACTGTCCCAGTTTAACAACAACGCGCTGACGCAAACAATTGGCGCTGTCGTTGTGCCCACCTTAGTATCGACTTCTACTCAATTGAGTTGCCATAAGAAATAATAAACAATAATACAATCTATTATCTTTAAAAAATAATAGTAACCACTTATAGCTATTAAAAATAATAATAATGAACAAGAAGAGTAATGTTGCAATGTGTCTTATCACGTTATAATCGCGTAAAGCGTCGTCTACAATGAGAACTTAAGCCATAAAATTTAAGCTTTAGGCCTTAAGTCGTAAAAAGTTGACTAATCACAGTTAATTATAAGAAAAATAATCGGCTGTGATTGGCCAATTTCTTACGACTTAAAGCTTAAAGCTTAAGTCTTACGGCTTAAGTTCTCATTGTAGACGACGCTTTAGTAAGCGAACGACTCTACAAGGACTCTACGTGTAGCGGCAGCAACACAAGTATCAACGGTGACTTGCATAGTACAACAGGTAACGGAAATGGCCATGAATTTCTATCCACCTACATCAGGTCCGCAAAACCAATTGCACATACAACAAGGGACACACAATACGGTGCGTATCCTTTTTGGCAAGATGTATAGTCTTCTTATATATAGTGGTTTTTACATGAGCTACAAGAAACTTGTTAGTTTTTAAGGAGAATTACTCTATTGAATCGTTGTTACAGTGCTTGTCCGAGAATAACTCCGCTCAACTTGACACTAGCCCCCATTTAAATAGATTTGAACATATAAAGATAATAAAAGTGGAGGACGTGTTACATTATTTCGAAACGATACCACATTCATTCGACAATAATCATGAAGTGGTTAGTCAAAAGCTAAATAATGAACTTACAAACTATAACTGTGTAATTTACATTCATATCGATAATATCTACATTCATATCGAGTTTGTAAAAAGTTGTATGTCACGTAGTGTGTTACTTTTATCTTTACCTGATAGTGGATCAAGAGAAGAAACACATTTGGTATCTAACATATTAATATTTTTTTTGCAGGTCAATTCCTTAATAGATGTAATAAAGACATGTAAGTCGAACATCATGAATGCTTATGATAATGCACGGTATTTGGTGCATCTGTTGAGAAATTATCCGATAATCATTGAGACTTATCTAGCTTCTAATCCGTATAACTATGAAACAGAGAAGGAACTAAAGGAATTAGGATACTATTTCAAAGTATCCATCATAAATGTTTCAAATGCAGCACAAACATCATCAATTTATAGTATCGACCAACCTTTTGTGGTTAATCCATACATTCAAACTCTGAAAACACCAAGGTTATATGGATTGCAAGAGTGTAGTTCTCACTACGCTACAGTGCACACAGTGGGGCAAGTTATGTTTAAAGTAATAAAATTATTTTCTAACATTTTTGTACGACACTACTGAAATTGATTTATAGGTAATTTTCTTATAATTAAACTAAATTAACAGAAACATATTTCATTTAGTGTGTGTATATATATATATATATATATATATATATATATATATATATATATATAACATATATAGTATATAATATTAAGTCGTATTGTTTGTTAATAACAATAAACTAATAATAATGAATATTGTTTTAAGAAAAATTTATTAAGACTAAAAATAAGAATTAAAATAGTTATGACATGATAAAATAATAGAATGAAGTTGTATAATTAAAGATATAAAACATTAAATATTTTAAAAGGCACACAAAAACGCGCAATATTTCTTTTTCTGATATTATTAGTCACTAAATATATTAACTAACAAGAAAAATTTCGAAGTCGAGAGAAATATCACAGGCATAATAATAAATATTGAAAATTTTTTTATATTTTAATAAGAAATTCTCGAGTTAAAACAATGTAATACTCGTTATAAAAAAAAATGAAACTTAATTATTTATACAAATATCTGATTAGAATACACCTGCAAATGTCGTTTCTATGTTGAAATGATTTTAAGAAAATCGAATTATACTGTAATATATTATGCTGTAATATAATTACAGTATAATGAATTATACTGTAATTATATTGTAATATGAAACGACAACACGAATTTGGCATATGTACAAACGCTTGAAAGTTACGTTTTGACAGACGATAACAGTGATAACGACAGTCAAAATGACAAATGTATCAGAAACATATATACGGGTATTTTCTATTAATTGTGTATATAATGTGCATTCTTTACGATTTCAATTTTTTTACTTTCTGTCAGTTTTTGATACTTTTAGCCTCACTGTGCAGCGCAATGATAAATGTTTGGTGCTATTAGGAGAAGTAATAAAAGACGATATGTTACTTCGATTACGTTAGTATACGTGTTGTAGTTTGGTAATATAAATATTGCAATCTCTCAACAGATCGACTCTTTTCGAGGCTGAGTCACCGGAAGTGTACAACAGCTCACACGTCAGGCAGCCATCAACAGCAGCTCAAGCGTATATTTCAGTGAACAAAGGGATAAAACGCCAGAGGCTCAATTAGACGATTAAATTAAATTAGTTATAATATAAACTTGATAGATAAGATAAAGATACAATTGTTGCCTGTTACACGAAACATCGAAGAAAACGACGAAAATTTAACGCGCGTTATACATTCGTTCTAAAATGATTTCCAAAGAAAATTCGGACTATTATGAACGTACTCTGAAGATATGACATACATATCATATGGATCAGTAGAATTTATTGATGTCGGGTTACATGCGAGGTACGAGTTCCAGCTGTGGTACGAATGGAGGGAAACACTTAACGACAAAAAGAAGCTCTACAGATAAGTTGCTGAATTAATTGAAAATCTAAAAGATTATTCAGCAATGTTCGAACAATTTTTGACAGTCTCTACTAATTAGAAAAGTTCGTTCGAAAGCCATATAAACGCGCGAACACTCTTTCGTCCGCTCCTCCATCGTTTTGATTCCTTCTTTTCTTTTCCTATCTAAAAAGAAAAGGATGGTTCTCTATTCTCTTGTTATAGCTAAAAGTGAGAATGAGAGAGAAAATAGAAGAAAGAGAATATTCGTATGTTGTATAATAATTATGTGCACAGTGCGATGTATAAACAATCAAATGTAATTTTAGATTTTCAAACGGACCTTTTAATATTGGAATGTCATTGTCAAAATTAATATTGGTATTATAAGATGAAAACTATCCGTTGCTTGATCGCCAAAATAAAATTATTAACGGAACGTTATACAAATAAGATACAAGTTCAAGGAACGTATTCTATCTTATATATCATAACAAAGTAAATTTAGTTTTAGTAGATACGTACTTTGAAAACTACAATATATGATCATAATAAGTATTCAGATATCTAGTTAATATTATATAATTGATGCAACTTTTTTTAAAAAACATCCGTATGCGATTGTAATATCACACTCATTATAAGCAGTTTAAACATTATGTACAGATAGGCAATGTACAACAATGTTTGTATGAGCGAATTATGAATGATTTTTTTATAATCAATATTTTTAATTACACAAATTCACAAGTTTTATTATACAAATTACACAAGTTTATCAGTTGTTACATAATTTACATTTTGTCTCAAAATGGCACGCATAATGTAACTAAGAAATAATCAGTTTGAAAATATATATTTGAGGCGTATTACGTATATTTGAAAAACATCAATTGATATTAAAATTATAGAAAGTATAATTGTTTAAATTAAAATACGCTTGCAGATATAAATTGTATATATTTGAAGGTGATGAACTTTTATATATATTAATAATACAATAACTAGAAACTTTAGCATTTAATAAAAACCCGCCGCGTTATTGAAAGACTAATTTCATGACATATAACGATATTGCACAGTAGAGATCATGCACAGCGAAAATGATTAGTGTAGAACCGATTGTTTCATTTGTTGTTGGGCTGTTTGATCCAATATCCCCAAGTAGCAAACGACTCGCCGTCTGCCTCTTCGGTGGGACTACGAAATACCTTTATTTTGACACGTGGAACGTCATCTGAGAACAAATAGTAATTGCATATTCCTCCAATCAAATGTGTACGTATCGCGATATCGTTATTTCACGTCATATATTTGCATTTATTCATTTAGAATAATGACGTCTGGATTTGAAAGTGTCCAGAAACAACTATTGCTGCACCGTCGTCGGCGACATTACCTTCTTCTATAGTTCGATGTCGCGAGACATCGCTCGACCGCGTGCCGCAATTGGTTGTCAACATTGCTTGAAGCAGAACGAGTATGAACAGAGCACACTGCAATGAGAGAAATAGTCCTGCGATTATTCAACAATTCATAAATCAAGTGAGTTGAAAATATCAATGTTTGCTCTGGGAAAAATTATATATATGATATTACATGACTTTTATATACAAGGTGAATCATCTAACGTTAGATTCTAAAATATATTATCTTTTTAATATTAGAAGAAAATGTCTAAGGGATAAGTATTGTGATCAGCTAACTCTTCAAACTTCACAATTTATTCCACACATTTCCTATTAACAAAAAGATAACATATATATTTTAGAATCTAATATTAGGTGACTTACTCTGTATCTAAATTATATATGAATCTCCTCCTTTCTTAAAAGAATTTTGTCTTTACAGAATGTTCTTGGAAAAAAGGGTTCAACACTTACGGGATAGATATAATAATTATAATAGCAATACTGAATAGAAAATGTTTAGTGAACATAGCTCGAAAGAAAACATGGATCGCAAAATTGCCTTACAATTCATACCCTCGAAGTGAATTGCAAAACACACAGTTGAACGGAAAGTGAATTCGCGAGCGAGTTTGCACTCGAGCGACTCACCGCTGATTTCATCGCGATCCACGCCGTGAGACTGATCGAATCTCCGAATTAAAGAGGAAACTTATATGTGAACGGCACACAGCATCTAGAGCGCGACCGACGTCGGCAGTTCTCTCCGCGGTTTGAGGGATCGTTTTTCCAGGGAGAAATCCGCATTGTCCTGCAAGAGCGACAACGTGTCACGTGAACTACGACAATGGTGGCGATAAAAACCACTCGACTTTCTAATGGCTTTTCACCCGAGTCGCTTGTCTGTAGCATTGCTGAAACTCGTCGCGCCGTTGCAGAGCTGCGTTCAACAGGCACAGGTACTTCCAAACGGTCACATTGCGATTATCGATCTCATTAGCCTCAATCAGGGCGATCTCGGCTTCCTTGAATCGCCGCAGCTGAAGACAGTAAGCTTTGTAAAGACGCGCCGCCTTCGCGGGAGGGAGTTCCCCGCGTGTAAATCCATTCGGGGATGAACTTGCGAATTTCGAACCGGCGACTCTATTGACGACCATCAAATTCACCTCGTAAAACGCGATCCCCGCGCCGAGCCACGTCTCCGCCGTCGGCGAAGTGTCGCACGCGCCGAGGAAGACTCTTAATGCGCGCTCGTAATCACCGACGTCCTCGTAGCACAGTCCCATTCTGTTGCATCACAATGTCGACGTGAACGACTCGACGATCGTCTTTTGTTAGCGATACCGAACAGCTTTACCTCATCCACACGAGATGCAAATCATCTGGTCTATTGAACACCGTGCTGGCGAATTCGTAGCGACGTATAGCTTCCTCGAAATCACCCTCTTGGAAATGGCAATGCCCCATTAAGCTGCTTATCGAATAATCCTGAACACAATGGACATTGACAAGCTTCAGGTAGTACATAATATTTGCAAATATATATATATGTATATGTACATAATATATATATATATATATATATATATATATATATATATATCCAGGTAGCAAAGTGACGTCTAAAGACGTCATTAAGACGTTATTAAGACGTCTATGACGTTTTAATGACGTCTTTAGACGTCACTTTGCTACCTGGATATATATATATATATATATCCAGGTAGCAAAGTGACGTCTAAAGACGTCATTAAGACGTTATTAAGACGTCTATGACGTTTTAATGACGTCTTTAGACGTCACCTTGCTGGGTATATATATATTTTTAGGATTATACACTAAATTAAGTAATATTATGTACTAATTTTATCATTAATATAATTAATAATTATAGTAGAATAAAATATCATAAATTGTAATTAATACAATTGATTACGCTATTTATAAATAGTGATCCTAATTATGAATACTTTACTAAAAGAGTTTCGCGATTCCATGAAAGCGGTAAAGAAAATAACATTTCACATTCTTCCTGAATTATTGATACTACTTGTATGTAAAAGTAACATCTCAACGTGATAGTTATAAATAGACTAAAGAATATAAAAATATACTCCATAGTTTTCATCAAAATGTATTAATTTGTATTTGCCAAGTGCAACTCGAAATTAGGACTCGACCCATGATTGGAATCTTTATGATCGACCAACCATTCCGTAGATGCGTTTAGCTTCTTCCAAATGCAACAAAGCGTCCTGGTATCGGCGCGACAGGTAGTGTTGCACGGCCAGATAATACAAGACATGCGTAGCTCGACCAACATGAGACATCTCCTCCGCCAATGCAACGCCAGCAAACTGCACGAATATCGAGCGTGACGACGCTCACGTGTATTTAAATATAAAAAATATATTGCGTCGTTTAATAAATAAAACCGAGTTTTTCGGGCGAAATAAAACGATTGTATTGTGTGAGAGATGTTATAATTCCATGAAATAATGTACACTGAAAAAAGTGCTTGAAAATTTATTTGTGATATTATTGTAGTTGTTTGTGGCAATGAAAGTTGATTCACAGAAATAAATTTTATTTTGCAGAAATAAACTTTGTTTTACGTAAATCATCTTTGTATCCCGCAAATAAATGTTCAGGTATTTTGTCTCAGTGTATACGAATATCATAGCAGAATATCGTAAATTAAAACGTGGCGTATATATTATTTTATAAAATTTTACAACGACTTAAAAATACAAGCGTTTTATTTCATCTGAAAAATTTGAAATTAATTATTACGCACTGACAAAAAAATACTTGAGAAATTAATTGTGGGATATAAAGTTTCTCTCTCTCTCTCTCTCTCTCTCTCTCTCTCTCTCTCTCTCTCTCTTTGCGAAGTAAAGTTGATTTCTCTGTGAAATCAATTTGTGAAATGAAACTTATGTCTGTGAATATAAATTTTATATCCTACGAATAAACGTTCAAGTATTTTTTTTCAACGCACAACCCAATACTTAAAATATTTCAAGCGCATTTTTTCATCTGCATTACATCGCAAAGGTGCAGCTTCAACAAGAACGTGGCCGCGATCGTGTACACGCTGTCGCGCGGGCAGTGAATCGTCGTCCATGAGAGCGGATTCTCACCCGAGATCTCTGTTTCCCCGTCCGCGTCTTGCAAACACTTTCTCGCGATTCGCAAAGTGGGATCTATGCCTGCGACGAGAGAGACGCTTCAAGCGGGGTCTACAATAGAAGTCGTAGAGTCTTAAATCGTAGAAATTGACCAATCGCGATCGAGTATGAAAAGAATAATCGACCGCGATTGGTCAATTTCTACGACTCTACGATTTCTATTGTAGACCCCGCTTCACGGATTTATACTCGGTTATAGAGAACGGAGATGAGACGACTATCGCGCACATTCACCTGGACAGTAGTCTGTGCGAATGTAAAACAGGTGCAGGTTGACCCAGCCTTCGACAAATCGTGGGTAGAAGTCTGTGACGATTCTCAGAAAAACCTCAGCATCCCGATAATTCCGCTCTCCGGCGAGAATTAGTCCGTACATCGATAGACTGCGCGAATGCGGAGATATTTATGACATTACTTTATCGTGTCGCAAGTAAAGACACGATGGAGAAATGTAATTCGAAATGCGTGTATCTCTCGGCTCTTTTCAGCTCTCTGTGTAGACATTCCGTGTCTCGAGATCTACATTGTTTCTCCATTCAGTACGAATTTAAAAAGGAAGAAAATACATCTCTGAGCGTTTTCACATACGCAATTTTGTCCCGTCTGTCCAGAAGAATCGCCTCACGGCTGCATTCTTTCGCGCGTTCCACATCGCCGATTTTCAAATGGAAGATCGCATACCTGGTCCATGCTACGGGATTCCTTTCGTCAACTGCGATTGCCTGTGAAAAGAATATATACACTTTTATATATGAGATATATGAGATAACGTCCGTCAACGCGTTACGTGCTGCGATGATTACTCGTAGCCGACCCACCATGGTAACAACCAATGTCTTATTAAGAGGATGCCGGAGTCGATGACGAACTCGAACAATGTCGATAATGCAAAGACGATCGTCACTAACATAATCACGCTAACATAATAAAACATAATAAAACAGTCACTAACATAATCCTTTTCGTATTTCTTGTATATATAAAACTTACATGAATGTGTGTTGCTTTCACAGAGGAAAATAATTTTGCTCTTTTAGTAAAATCGTCGTTGCTACTGCATATTCGTAGTGATATCAAAAAAATTTAGTTGACGTAACTAATTTTACAAATTATTCGTTATCAGAGCAGAAGTAGTTTTGTTGCCAGGATAGAAAAAATTTGTTGAGTGTATTTGTCCTAAGAATCACGTTAATTTGCTATTGATACCAAATAATATGTTCTTAGCAAATTTATTTGCTGTCAGAGCAATATTGCAACTGCTTATATAAATCCATCATAGTTCTTATAGCAAAATAATTTGTAGATTCAGCAAATTATATCCAGCAAATAATGATTAGTACTCTTAGCAAATCTTTTTACTGTCCATATAATAACGAAAAGATTTTACTAGACCAGCAGAGAATTTGCTGGGCTAGCCAATTATTTTTCTCAATCTTGTTTTACCATATTCAACGGAAAACCTGACTATATATATATAGAAATCTTTCTGCAAACTTTTTCGATATTCTTAAGCTTCCAAATGCAGATGCGAAGGTAGAGCAATGTTCTTCAAAATTTTTCTGTTTAGAGCATCCACACTTTCGGTATGTACAAGCTGCAGAACTTTTGGATTAGGCAAATATGACAGCTTGAGATTTTACACTTAAAATTCTTGTTTCGTTTTCCTCACATATCGAGCTCATATGCTCCTATTTATTTTTGCACGTACTTTCATTGCGTAAAAGCATTTTTAATTCTATTTAATCAATGCGACGTAAACTTTGCAGAAAAATGTCAGTGTTCTGTGGGTAAAGTTTTCAGTTTCAGCATTGCCTTAACTTACGTACAAGACATAATTAATTGCATTGTTTCTAAAATTGATTACACCGCCAGTAGAAAGCCAATGAAAAGAGGTAAAAGATATATTAACTTCAAATTACTTTTCTTCTGTACCTTCATCTTTAGTAATTCGATCACCAGTTAAACTTTTGGATGGTATAATTAATGGAGATCAAAGCGGCACCTAATGCGTTACCGAATTGGAAGTAAAACTCGAAGGGAGAGCAATATTTCTTATCTTATGTTTCCTGGTAGGATACAAACATTCATCGATATTTTTATCGGAAATATCCGTTTGTTAATTTTTTTATCGGATAACTTATCTCAGTATGGCACTCTGTAGAGTATATCGAGCCCGGTAATGCTTACAGCCCGGTAATGTCTCCTCGCATCGTCCGTGTGTCCTAATTCGTAAGCTTCCTCGGCGTAGAAATATAAATCCGTGCTGATCGGGTTTCCCGATGAATCGTCCGCGAGGCGACTCTCCACGATTTTATTAAGAACTAAGTGCATCTGCTCGACGAGATACGTATACGTGGATGCTACGAAATTCTACGGATACAAATTGTGATTTTGGCGAGCGCGCTCTTCCGCGTTCAATCGCGATGTAAACACATAAACGAGTCTACGCTCTCAAAAGCTCGTATAAGCTCATTTCCGGCGTGGACATCTCGCTGTTGCTGGACGACAAACCTGACTCTCGACGGATTCCACGTTGCTCATGTGCACGTTGAATTTCTGATCCAGCAGCATGATCACTTTCGCCTTCAGGCTGCTACGTACGTTCAGGTACACGCCAGTTTTATACAGATATTGCGTGAAACAGGTCAACTCGTCCTGAGGAAAATTGCCGCAATGAGAGCGCGCACGATGGCGAGGCAATATAACGTCGTTGACAAAAATTGTCGCACCTCTTCGGGAGTGAAACAATATTTCGCCTCTCCTGTCTCTTCGACAGTAGAACCGTCCTCACGCCTCTGCGACGCGGATAACTTTTCCCGTCCCTTTTCCTCGCGAAAATCCTAGGATGAAAAGATTGCGAAAGCTTAATTTATGATATCGAACCTATTCGATGTAATTAGTTCTTGTGTCCGGATAATGCGCGATATGAGAAGCTTAGTGTACTCGGTAACTCTCGGTGATGATTTCCGCCATTTTTCGAATGCAAGTTGCGTATTGCTCCTCTGCCATGTCGCCAGAATAAGCGTAACGAGGTTTAGGTGGCCTCGGCATCATCATTTTTTCGATTCTGGCAAAATAAATAGAATCAAAATGAAAGCGATTAATGTAAGGCAAACGATATAACTTTTTATAAATATATATATATATATATATATATATATATATATATAAATTAATAAAAAAATATATAATTATATTCACTAAGAGTTTCATAATTCACCTATCAAGTGTTTCATAATTCTAAAAAGTCAATAGAAAAATGATAAAATTGGAAGAAAATTACGAATTGAAAAGTTTTGATAAGTGATATTTAATCAAGAGAATGTTTAAATTTAAAAAAATTATATCCTACATTTCTTTTTAAATATTAATATTTACGAAAATAACTTTATTAAATAATAATAATTTACAAAGAACTAAAGAATATAAAAATTATTTTTAAACAATACAAAACAGAGAATCAAATTATATTAAAATGACATCATAATGACGAGAAAATCATCGAATTATTATTGAAAAGTGAATTTTTTTATCATTTTCCTATAATTTTGGCTTCATCAAAGTTTTCTGTTCTACGTGAATATATCTTCTAAGTTATAGGTCAAATTCGATTTCAAATTAGGACTCGTATGATACTTACATATCTGAAAATTCAGTTTCGATTGCACGAGGAATAATTGGATAATAAAGCGTGATTTCAATTATAACAAATACGGGCTCGCCATTTTCCGAAATCAACGGAACGCTTGGCGCCACTTTCTCGACGTCCATAGACTGCGTGAGAGAGAAATCACAAAAGACTCGAGAATGTTAATATTTATGTTAATATTAATCCTCAAGATATTATACAAAAAGTTTCAAAAATAGATCAGAGAAATTCGCACAGGAAATTTGCAAATATAAACGTCACGCTCGGCTAACCTCAAGCTTCATGTTCTTCTGTTCTTGTTCCCTCGAATTTCCGTTCCAAGGATCCGTATCCAAAATATCCGTCTCCAAACCGGTCTTCTCTGCCATATCAGACGGATTGTACGTGTACAATTGTGCCATTACGCGAGTACTAGTTTCTACGAGAAAGAAATTAATGATCGATATCAAGTGTATAATCACATTAAATGATAGTAGCGTTTACACGTAGAAAAGATTTTTATCGAATGTGTAATCACATCAAGTCTTAGTAGCGTTTACACGTAAAAAAGATTATTATTTTTATATATTTTTCAAAAATCTATTATACTCGGATTTACATTCATTCATTATTTTCACATTCATTCGCGCGCTTACTTCCCGGTAGAAGCAGCTCCGACATATCGACGTAACACTGGTAAAGCTGACGTCTAGTCGGTCCCTCCATTTTTAACTTAACACTGTCCTCCGCGCTTTTTACGACCACCGTGAATTGAAACGGCCAATATCTGTGTCTGTAAAAAAAGAAAATGTGATGTCGGCACGAGCTTTTATTGGCTTTTATCTGAAGGATTTTCGCAAAAATATGTACTCGTTAATGTGTTTCTGCATGATCTGCAAGCCTGCATCGTATATCACCTTACGACTCATGAAATTCCACTCGATCCTGGGCTGTTCCCTCAGCACTCTCTCCTACAAATTGCGCGATAACTCACGACTTTATCGAAATATTACGCTCACTCCAAGAAATCACTCACTTCTACATTGAGCTTCACAGTGAGAGTGTCTCTTATATTTGCATAATCACGGCCGAGCTTGCATTTGGATAATCTGGCACGACTTTGTAGCTTTGATAGACTCTGCCATCGTTTCGTTCTCTCTATATCACGATACTTCGTCCACACACCATCTCCGAATATCAGATTTTCCGGGAACTGTGGCGAAAAGACGAAAGTTTCTCTGTGAGACTTAGTAAGAGACGTATCTTTAGCATTTCATTCCTCGCTTCTGACGTCACAAGTCATAATAGACATGATCAGATATGGCCGGCGAGATACACACAAGAAGCCTTAATAATATAAGTCTTTTAAAAAAATGTACTCATTACAAACTTTAGGAAAATTCATCACAAATTTTAGGAACTCCTTATCAAACAAGGAGTTAAAAAAGTACAATGTACCTCGTTGTCAATATACATTATAGTCGCCGCTTTGTATTCCTCATCTTCGGCGAAGAATCTCGGTGGATTGTAAATACTCTCCACGGTGATGCTGAGAAAGTTGACCTTCGCGTCCACGGGGAATATCTTTGCATCATCGTACGTTATCGTCACAGTTAGGACAGGTAGATTCTGCCACGAGATTGCATCCGCATCGAACGAGAGACTCGCGGTCTCCACCATCAGTCTCTCGGTGAGCGATCTTTCACCTGATAATGAGATCGTAAGAGAGACACTTCAGTCCCGTTTTCTCAGTTGAACGCGATAATCCGAACCCGTCACCTAGCAATATCGGCATTAAGTCGAGACTGCAGAAACCAATTACGTCTTGCGAGGTCTGCCTTTGTGCGCTCGGTTTCGCCCTCCTCTTGGATTCCGCGTTTGATCCAACGGTATCAGGTTGATCTGGAGCAGCGTGCGTCACCTTGACTAGTGAGACGGTGAAAGCGTGAGACGTTAACGTCATTCTAATCGCAATTAAAAAAACCGGAACAATGAATTTTATTGACGGACAGGGTTAGGAAGTAACGCGTTACTCCGTAACGTCGTTACCGTTACAAGTCACTTTTTCAATAACGATTTAGTAATGACGTTGTTTTTCTTGTTACTGAAATTGGATCGTAATTTTTACTACAATATTCTCTCCGTATAGAGTACTCATCAGATAAATGTTCATTCATATTTTTTAAATATTTGGTAAATATACAGTTATAACGCTCTCATCTTGGATTTTTTTTAAACTTTGTATTTTTTAACACGTAGAATTGATGAAAGCGAAAATTGCCGTTCATCAAGAAAACGAAAAATGAACGACAATTTTTGATAAATGTTCACTATTTTTTAAATATTTGGTAAATATACAGTTATAACGCTCTCACCTTGGATTTTTTTCAAACTTTGTAAATTTGTATTTTTTAACACGTAGAATTGATGAAAGCGAAAATTGCCGCTCATCAAGAAGACGAAAAATTAACAACAATTTTCGCTTTCAGAAATCAATTCTACGTGTTAAAAAATACAAATTTACACAGTTTGAAATAAATCCAAGGTCAGAATGTTATACTGCATATTTATCAAATATTTCTTCTCTTAACCCAGGTCATCATATAAAAGCGTGTTTTACCTAAGACCGGCGTCGATACAAGTGAATCCACGCGACCATGATCCCCGATTACAAATGAAAGTTCCACGGCGAAATTGACGTCGTAAATTTGCGAGGATTCCTGGAAGCTGGGATCGATAGTAACGGGGATACTCTCTCCGAGCACTGCGTCATTATGTATCACGACGAACGACACGCCGGTTCCTTCCTTCACGGTCTTTTCCACAAAAGATATAAGATTCTCTTGCGATTGCGAAATCGTTCGATTACACACAAAGGAGACTTACTAGATTTTCAATGGAGTCTATCACTATTCTGATGCTTCTCTCGACTGACGCGTTTCCAACCGCAGGCTTTTCCATCGGAGAATATGTCCGTTTGCAGATTTTCTATCTATAAATACAACCGCAATCGCGTGATATAGAGATGGACACTCGGTATTTTCGAGATCTTCCTGTGAACTTGATAAAATAGCTGTTAAGGTCCATTTAGGCTAACGACGAATTGCAATTTCATCTTCAATTGTTTGCTGGAGCTTCGACTTCAAGCCAAAGGATTTTTTTGTTTTGTTACATAAGCAGAGCTATTAAAATATCAATTAAATTTTTCACAACTGAGTAATTGACTTGAATAAATATGTTTCGATTCAATCATCAGATGGCACAAGATCTCCAGAGAATATCCTGGAAACGATCTCAGCATGTAAGAACGTTTTCAGAATATCTTTAGAGAAGATATTCTGTGAAAACCTTTTGAGTTAATTGACGATTAATTCGAGCTAAAGCAATCGAAGGATGTTTAATTGACGATTGATTTTAATGAATACAATTAAAGACCGTTCAATTGACAATTGATATGAGCGAGGGGAATCGTTCAATTAACAATTTAATTAAAGACTATTTAATTGACGTAGCTAATTTAATTTGTGTGTTAAGCTTGTCTTCTACTTAGCCATGAAGATCAGATAGAAAAAGACAGAAAGCAGGTGCCATGTATTTTTCTTCCTTTATCCAGGAAAGAATGAGAGAGAAAGATATACGGCATCATCTTCCGTTTCTTTCCATCTAATCTTCAGGTTTCGCGCCTCACGCTCGGTCTATTCTTATTATAGGCCTGTTCTTTGTAACTGCACTGCTGAACTGGTGCAATAAGTTGAAGTGAGACAAATATACGTTTTTTCACTCTAACTTATTGCACCAGTTCAGCAGTGCAGCTACAAAGAACAGGCCTTATGCTCGAATCACACTAGCGATTGGCGACTGCGTTTGCGCTTTATGATTAAATGTTCAATCACACTAGCAACTGCAAGCGTCGAGTGATTGCGTTTTGATGCTAGATGCAGATACGTTTTATAACCTAAACCTAAACATATGTGAAGAAAATATTATAGAACTGGAAGGAGCAAACCACATCTTCCCAAGTCATATCTCTAAAATCAGCTCTTTTGTAGAGCTCAGAAGTGCTATCCCATAGGATAGGTCTACACTCTACTAAATCAATTAGCTTAAATTCCATATCTTTTGTAAATACCTCAGAATTTTTCGGCGGCATGATTGGTTGCATTTGCGTCTACGATTGTAAAAATTCGAGCATTATGTCTATGATATAAGCAAATTCAGTCAATTAAATCGAAGAGCAATCGATTATTCAAAATTATAATTGGTTTTGTAGATAATATATATTCACAATATCTAGAATATCGTGGCATCGTGAAAGATGCCGATGATTGAGAAGCGCTAAGTAGGATTCTCGTCGAGAAGTCACACCAATTGTCATTGATCACTTTTTGATTAAATCGATTGAATTTGCTCATACCAACCGCCAATTAAATGATCTTTAATTAAATGTGCTAGGTTCAATTATTAATTGTACGATCTCTGATTGAATTCGTGGACATCAATCGTTAATTGAACAGTCCTCGACTGAATCTGTTGAAATCTGTTGAAATTGTCAATTAAACGGTTTTAAATTGAATTAACTCATATATATATATATATATATATATATATATATATATATATATATATATATATATATATATATATATATATATATATATATA